GTAAGTCGAGGACTACCCAACCGGTCGTAAGTCGAGGACTTTCCCTGCCCGGGAGCGCCGCACATGCGTGGTTCCGCCCCCTGCGCCGGCCGAGGCGTAGCTGGCAAGCGGCAGAGACGGAGCAGGCCGACCACCAGCTGGCCCAGCCCAAGGGAGGTAAGGCACCCGCCGGAAAAGGGGAAAAAAATGGCGGACAGCCTTGCTTGGCGACCCCCGTGAAATGGTCGACGGACCCCAAATGGGGTCCCGACCCACAGGTTGAGAACCACTGCCCTAACACATTTCCTCTTCCACTCTGTGCATAGTCCCAGGCAGCCAGTTTTCTCTGCCAATGACCCTAAACACAGATCTTGCTTGTTTTCTGTTTGCATGTGAGAGGCAGGATGTGCACAACAGGATGAGTCCTGATAAGAACAGCCTTGCTGCTTCAGACCTAAAGGGCCGCAGAGTTCTCCGTCTGTCTGTTTCTCAACTTCAGCAACTTTAAGAAGTGTGTGTGTGAAGTCCACGCTTCTTAAAGTCCGTAAGGTTGAGAAACGCTGGAATAGTTTGTAGGGCCAGATCCCCACTGCTCTACTCAGCTGATGCAATTAGTCATGCCCTGCAGTGCGCTTTCACCCTCTGCCACCCCCAAACCTTCCCAGATGCATTGCTTGGAGACCTGGAAGCTCTTCCTGGCAGGAGTCTGAAAAGCGGCACACAACGGGATGCTTCAGTTCAGCAGGCAAAGAATTCAACTCATCTCTTAACATGTACACCCATGGCCACACAAGTGCACCCACCCACACACACACACACACACTAGAACCCCCTCCCTGCAAGGGGAAGGGAGCAGCACTTCTGAATGAAAACTTCCCACCTCTCAAACTTTTCCTCTTTCCACCCTCCAGTTACAAGCAACTTTCTCCAAGGCCGCTGCGCGCAAGCTGCAGAACGGAAATGCAGCCCAACGCATCTGGAGACCGCTTAGTGATGGAAAGCTGCCCTCCTTCCTCCCTCCCTCCAGCACGCTGCACCCCCCCCCCCCTTGCCGTGCCTTGCCTTGCCTTGCCTTCCACCACCACCACCCCGACACACACACACACACACACCCTCCCAGCAAACTTTGTTCCAGGCAGGCTTGCATCAGATCCACCCGGGATGCTTTGAGGATGACGCTACCGTTGAGAGCCAAGGTGTGGCCGGCTGGCAGCTGCAAGGAAGCAGCAAGTGGCAAGCCGGGCACCCTGCGTGCCAGCACCTAAGAGTTATGCCAGCCTCCCCCCCCACCCCACCCCACCCCATCCCACATACTCACCAGCTGGCAGGGAAGGCCAGGGAAGAGGCGCAGACAGAGGAACCAGCCGAGGGATTCTGCGTCGAGAGAGAGAGAAGGGGAAAAAAGAGAGCTGACACGGAGAGCGGTGCGGGGAAGAGTCTGAATTCGTCTCGCGGGCGGAAACCAGCCAGCAACAAAATAGTTAGCCAACAGAGAGGGAGGGAAGGAGGGAGGGAGGGAAGCAAGTCCCAGGCAGGGTGCTGGGAAAACCAGGCAAGGGGGGGGGGGGGAGAGCAGGCAGGCGGGCAGGCAGGACACAGCAGGGTCCTAAAGGCCAACTGGTCTAGAGCAGAAGGGATACCCAGCCAGGCATTTGGAAGAGGCAGACAAACATCTGCAAATTTTTTTTAAATTAACTAATGTCCGATGACAAAAACCATTTTAGAATAATCTATTGGAATGCTGCATCCAGTTTGGGTCACCACCATGTAAAAAAGATGTTGAGAGTCTAGAAAGAGTGCAGAGAAGAGCAACAAGGATGATTAGGGTTCTGGAGGCTAAAACATACAAGGACCGGTTGCTGGAATTGGGTAGGTCTAGTTTAAGGGGGGACATGATAGCAGTGATCCAGTATCTCAGGGGCTGCCCCAAAGAAGAGGGAGTCAAGTTATTCTCCAAGGCGCCTGAAGGCAGGACAAGAAGCAACGGATGGAAACTGATCAAGGAGAGAAGCAACCTGGAACTAAGGAGAAACTTCCTGACAGTTAGAACAATTAACCAGTGGAACTCCTTGCCTCCAGAAGCGGTGAATGCTCCAACACTGGAAGTTTTTAAGAAGAGACTGGACAGCCATTTGTCCGAAATGGTGTAGGGTTTCCTGCCAGGAGGTTGGACTTGATGACCTCCAAGGTCCCTTCCAACTTTATTACTATTACTATTACTATTACTAAATTTCCTGACAGTGAGAACAATTGATCAGTGCAACGGAAGCTGTGGGTGCTCCATCCCTGGAGATTTTTAAGAAGAGACCAGACAGCCATTTGTCGGGAATAGTAAAGGGTCTCCAGCTTGACAGGGGGTTGGACTAGAAGACCTCCAAGGTCCCGTCCTACTCTGCTATTCTGTTACCGTTCTTGAATTCTGTTTCATTTATTGTTCGTGTTCACGTTTCTAACTTTAATGCGTGACGTTTTAATATTTCTAACTTTCCCACTTGCCTGTATTTTATTTATTGGATTCCTACTTTATTCTTTTTACAAATAACTCAAGGAAGCAAAGATATCCCACACACATAATACTCCTGTCTAACTTAGCAATGGAAATGTTGGACTCAGTTGTGGTCGTAAACCGAGGACTACCTGTCCTGGGAATATCAATGGATAGCCAATAATACAACATACAACATACAGCATGCTGGCTGGAGAATTCTGGGAGCTGACGTTCACGCATCTGGAAATGGACATATTTGAAAAATGGTGATATAGATAGAAGCTACTGTGTAAAATCCATTAACACAAACAATGTACAAGAAACCACAATAGTCTGGTTTCTGTTTTTTCCTTCCTTGAATGTTACCAGCCCTATGAACCGATTGTTTCTGCCATGGCTGTGGAATACTGAATAAACATCCATATTTGATTGCATTACACAAATGCAGGTGGAGAGACACAAAGAGGAGACTACATCAACAGGAGGCTATAAATACCTACAGTTGTCAACCTTTTACTTAAGGACTCTGTTATGTTTATAGGTGTCCTAAAATAACTTCATTTGTTTCCTTTATCCTTTTACATGCAGAGTTAAACCAATCATTTCAGGTGCAGGCATGCCAGAATATGCACAGGATGAGAGTTTTTGGGTAGACTCCAGTTAAAGGCATGAAAGTACAGCCAACAATAGCAATAGCAACAGCACTGAAGACTTAATAGAACGCTTCACGGTACTTTACAGCCCTCTCTGAGCAGTTTTCAGAGTCAGCCTATTGTCCCCAACAATCCAAATCCTCATTTTACCGACCTCAGAAGGACGGAAGGCTGAGTCAACCTTAAGCCGGTCAGAATAATCGAATTCCTGGAGTGAGCAATGAGTTAGCTTGCAGTACTGCATTCTAACTACGGCTCTTTTAGATTATGTGATTTTTTAAAATGTGATTACAGGTAATCCTCAACTTACAACCGTTCATTTAGTGACCGTTCAACGTTACGACAGCACTGAAAAAAATAAACGATGACTGTTTTTCACACTTGCAACCGTTGCAGCGTTCCCACGGTCATGTGATCCAAATCTGAATGCTTGGCAACTGACTCACATTTATGACGGTCGCAGTGTCCCGGGGTCATGTGATTCCCCCTTTGCGACATTCCGACAAGCCAACTCAATGGGGAAGCCAGATTTACTTAACACCCGTGTTACTAATTTAACAACTGCAGTGATTCACTTAAGAACTGTGGCAAGAAGGGTCATAAAATGAGCCAAAACTCCCTTAACAACTGTCTCACTGAGCAATAGAAATGTTGGGCTCAGCTGTGGTCATAAGTCGAGGACTACCTACATATTTGAGTATTGCGGGTCCTCTAAAGTCAGTAATAATCGGAAATGAAACAGATAAATTTGGAAAGCGCCGAGAGCGAATAGGAAGACTCAAGTGGGTCCCTTGCTCAGCCCAAGATCACAAGGGAGACGCCATCCTAACCCTATGTTTGTGTTAGTAAGGCCTACAAAAACAAAAAAACGGATTTTTTTCAAACTTCAATTTAATAAAACATATTGAAAAGTAGGATTCCACCCTTGCGTTTAATAATGTTCCTTTCCTCTCCTTTAAAAAAAACAACAACATTTCGACAATATCTGGGAGGGATCTGAAGGCCACACTGGAGGTTATTGGTTCTGAGGCCAAGCCACCTTGGGAATGTATGCCTGCGCTACGCCAGCGGGAGAGGAAGCACATAGGAAAACAAAAGGTTTACCTTGCGGATCAGTTGCTGTTGCTCAAGGTTTCTGATATCGTTGTCCAACTCTTCGCTGAGCTGTTGTAGCTCCTTCTCCAGTTGCTCCTGGCAGAGAAGAAAGAAATAATGCCGCTTTAGGAGTGTCGGTGCCCGGCTGCGGACACCACAGTAAGAGAGCAAAGAAGCCCAGGGCTGTTTTGGGTTGAGACAAGAGAGAAGAATGTGGGACTCACTTGTGCCCACGGGTGGAGTCAAGGTGTTGTCACTGCTACCCAAGCAGTTCAGTTGCACAATGCAATCAACCTGATACCCTGCTTACACAAGTCCCCTTTTGTTTGAAAGGGCAGCCAGTTAAAGTGCCCACATGAACGCAGCCTCAAGGCTATAATTCAGAGACTGGAAGAGAAGTGTCACCTTCCTCTGGAATGTAAAACTGCAAGTCAGTTCGTAGATGTGTAATCGCAACTAAATGCTGTCTCTTACGTACTGGAAAAGATTCCAACATGTAAAAAACAGTATGCTTCAGACAAATGTTTAGAGTGGGGTTTTTTTTTTACACACACACACACATACACACACACACACACACTTTCCTGGAATATTTTCTATATGCAGAGTGCTTTTTCATGGAGAAACATTCAGTCGGGGTGCAGCTTAAAGCCTTTATGTTTATTTGTATTTATGGTTTGCTTTTACTAGTCATTGCAACACAAGGCTCTAGTTTCCACAAGGATATTTCCAAAGGAAGGGCAAAAACTGATAAAGGCCACACTTGACCCCATTTTGAGGGACAATACCTATCCCAGGAAATTAAGCTAAGTGGATTTTATGAAAACGAACACATTTGATTGAGAATTGTGGGAATTTGCCCAAGGGGAGGGAGGGAGGGAGGGAGGGAGGAAGGAAGGAAGGAAGGAAGGAAGGAAGGAAGGAAGGAAGGAAGGAAGGAAGGAAGGAAGGAAGGAAGGAAGGAAGGAAGGGCAAAGATACTAGTGCAAATGCCAGGGACTGAGAGAACAAGAGAATTGTAGGGGGAAAGTGTCTTGAAATCAATCAGAATAAAGCTGGAAGAGACCTTGGAGGTCTTCTAGTCCAACCCCCTGCTCAAGCAGGAGACCTTATACCGTTTCAGACAAATAGTTGTCCAATCTCTTCTTGAAAGCCTCCAGTGATGGAGCACCCATAACTTCTGACGGCAAGCTGTTCCACTGGTTAATTGTCTCATTGTTAGGACGTTTCTCCTTCATTCCAGGTTGCTTCTCTCCTTGATTAAGTTTCCATCCCTTGTTTCTCGTCTGTGGTCCTCCCAAAGGACACCTTGTTGAGGGCTTCTCTTCCTGGCAGCACCGCTTAGGTCAGGGGTCTTCAAACGTGGCCCTTTTATGACTTGTGGACTTCAACTTCCAGAATTCCTCCCAATTCTGGGAGTTGAAGTCCACAAGTCATAAAAGGGCCACGTTTGAAGACCCCTGACTGAGGTTAACTCAGGACTTCCTGGGAATGGCACTGATGTACGAGTTTTGGAATTCCGTGGAACAGACCTCAGAGAAGCCGAAACATTTTTTTTTTAATGCATTACATACATGCCTTTTCCTTCTGTGGTTTCATTTTGAATTTAATCAGGTTAGGCTGCAGCTGTCCATTATATGAATTACACAATCCTGCTTACTGGTTTATAGTGCAATATGGAGGGGGCTGAGAGCCAGTTGGTGCAGTGGTTAAAGGAAGCAGGCCAAAAACTGGGAGACCTGAATTCTAGTCCTGCCTTACAAAGCCTGTTGGGTGACCATGGACCAGTTCTGTTTCATCACTGGAGGTTTTCAACAAGTGTTTTGACAGCCACTTGTCTGAAATGGTATAGGGCAGGCATGTCAAACTCACGACGTCACGTGACGTCGCGCAACGTATCGGAGCTTTTTCTCCATTGCTGGCAATGGGGTGGGCGCGGTTTTGGGATGACGTGTCCGGCCCGCGGGCCGGCAGTTTGACACCCCTGGTATAGGGCCTTCTGCTTGAGCAGGGGGTTGGACTAGAAGGCCTCCAAGGTCCCTTTCCAACTCTGTTATTTTGCTCTATGTTCTCTCTCAGCCCTGTCGGGAAGAAGACAAGAGCAAATCACATCCAAAAATCTGGACAAGAAAATTGTAGGGATTTGTCCAGGCAGTTGGTAGGAATCAAGACTGAGGAAGGATCGAAGGAAGGAAGGAAGGAAGGAAGGAAGGAAGGAAGGAAGGAAGGAAGGAAGGAAGGAAGGAAGGAAGGAAGGAAGGAAGGAAGGAAGGAAGGAAATTAAAGCATTACCCTGAAGTGGGAGGCATCAAATATTTCCAAACTAACCTTGGAAAGTATGGGATAATTTGATGTGCCTATAAAAATGTTCATTATTCTGGAATCTGTACTGGCTAGAATTTAAGTTCTCTGGAAGTGTTTTAATTTATAACCATTCTTTTAGTCTTTCATAGTCTTCTTTTTTTTCCGACATCAGAAGAATATGAGACCCTACTGGAAATTATTTGTGGAGGCACCAATATCATGTCTAGCATCTGTTATTCATTATACTGCAGGCAGGAGTTAGAAAAACAGAGCAGCTGGGGTAAATAAGGGAAAGCTTTATATTTACACTGAAATTAAGATTACGGTGAAGTTGATAATTTCAGAAACAGAAATTAGAATGCTTCCATGGCACAGGATACTATCACACATAGTTCAGCAACTGTGCAGCATGATCATGAGTACCAAATTCAACTTTCCAAAATCCTATTTGAAAAATTCTAGTCGAAGGTAGATTTTTCAAAGTGAATGATCATAATCAACAATGAATGGTATGGGCACAGACTATTTTTTTTAAAAAGAGAGTGGCTACATGATCTTAACTCTAGGGCACATGGCTTTGTAGAATCACAGATAGTACATTATTCCACTCGCTCCAAACCCTGACCTGGTGCATTCTTGTCTGCAACTCTGGGCAGCTTATTTGCTGTGTGTAGCACAATCTTCAAGGCAGAGGAGGAGGAGGAGGGGAGAGGAAATAACAAAGAATCCTGCTCCATGGAAGCCAGTAAACACAGCTGCACTCCAGGCGTCTTGGGAGAACCATCTCCTCTCGCTGGCTACGTTAGCCTCCCAATCCCCAGCTTTTTCAAGGAAGTGGATAGCACGTGCTTGGCTGTGTCTACTGACATTGCCAGAGGCCAAATGTGCAGAAAGGACTCACCTCAATTGGCAGAGAGGGCGATGGGCACCGTGCTGAAGATGGCGGGAAGGACTTCTGAGCCTGTAATGGGCCAATTAAAACGTCAATGAAAAGAATGCCGAGTTAGAGACAATTCCTATTTGGGACAATGGTCCTTGGGCTTGGAGTAGTAGGAGGATGCAGAACAGGGTGGGGCTTCCCATTCCAGAGGCCAATTTTCCATATGGTGTTACACCTATTGTTCATCTGTTTTCCCTTACATTCAGAGCACGTGTGGCATTCTTTAATGCCTCCTGAGGTCAATGAGGTTGACTCGCCAGAAGCATGCACAAGATCACTATTTCAATATTCCACCCTACTGTACTTCCATTGATTGGTGATACACCAAACCTGGTTCAGATATTAGCTGGGCCTACTAATTGTTCTATCAATGAGTACTCCGCCTCAAACCAAACTAAGGCTCTACTTACCAGAGTAGGATTATCAAGGATGGATGACTTTCCAGGTTCGTAATCAAAAATGCTCCTGGGCTCGTTGCTGGTGGCATCTGCAGCTTCCCAATTTCTCCTGCAAAAGAAAGATAGGAGACCCTCAAGTGCTCTGCATGACGTGCGTTGTCTCCCCTTTGACCCCAATGACTTCCTGCCTTGTATTTGCAAAGATCCACTTTAGCAGGGACCATTCCCAGCATCAAAGGATTGCTTCAATAGCCCACAAGCCATTTCTGAGCGTTTGCCACTACATTCCCTCCCTAAGTATCTTCAGGTAGTATCAATGCACCCACATTTCTTGGTGAGTGGTAGACTGAGGTGGGTGTTGCATGTTGTGAAATGGCAAAGCTGCAACCATCACACAGGGACCTCCCATTGCCACCTGATAACCCTTCAAACACAAGCAAAGCAAAGCACATATTCAGCTGAAATTGACTAAGTCATCGAGATAATAGCAAGGGCACATTTATACGGTACATGTATACATTTATAGATGAATCCATTTCATGTTGAAATCTCACATCTCCCTCTAGTGTCACAGATGGGCACTGGAACAGGCATGCATTCAAACTGATGAATTAAACCCAACGATGGACCAATTTTGAAGAGTCTAATTAGTTTTTCGGTCCATTGTCCAGAGCCAGCTGTAAAACACTAATTCAGAAAAGAAGACACAGAATCTGGGAACAAGGATGCCTCCAATATCTCAGGGGACACTTTGTTTACTTTCCTCAAAACCTGTTGGAATGCTTCTTAAATGCTTCCCCCAAATACTTAAGTCTCAAATTCACTTGTACTAAAGTCCCACCAACTGAAATGGACCTCACTTCTGAATAAGTGCATGAGATTGAGTTGCAAATAAGCTTACATTTTTAATGTAAATGTATCAGGAAAGTGCATAATGTCATATCTTTACATTCAGCCCCACATTTTTTCTGATGTTCATATGGCTTTGCCACCTCTCTGTATGTTGGTTGGTTGCCCTCCTTCACTGGAGAGAATCACATCTTCCATGTTTCTACTCACCAAGCCAAGCCATTCTTTTGGCGAGAGGAACTGTTTGGGATCATCACTGGAGGTTGGTTCTTCTTCATGAGTCCTGGAGGGTCATGATCTGGAGGAGACAAAATTATCGCTGTCTGAGACAGACAATCAAAGGACAATCAAATGGAACAATGGATGATCTCTTTGCTCTCTTCCCAAAACCTCCACACATACACACACACCGATGGACAACCTAAAGCCTTAGTGCTGGAACAAGTCAAGAATTTTCTTTCGGCTATCTCAGAGGTCCACGTGACCATTCAGCTGAATTTGGATGGTACAGTTTGTGGTTGATTTTCAAAGATTTGAACATTAACAGTCCTGCTACTTTTAATTGGGATTTCTTTAAAAGAAACAAAGAAATCTTTCTCCAAATTTTTCCTTGAATACCAGAAAACCCCAGAATTAATCACATCTGCAACCTGGTTCCTCTTATTCTACCTATGCCCTCCTGTAAAAACATTACAGTTACTACCACTGAAATCTTGCCTACCGTTGGACTAGGCACTTTCCTAGTGGGAAGGAAATCCCTCTGTTACATTTTCATGGTGGGAAGACCATCATTTCTTAATAGCCTATTCACAGGCAGAAGTCCAACCAAATGAGAATTTCTCATTAAGAAGTCTCTATGAAGCCATGTCTGATGTCTTCAGGCCCTTCATTTGGGTGCTGGGGGCCTTTTAAGCATTGTCCCAGCCAAGCAAGTATTATTCCCACATCAGTCACTTCCACAGAGTCAGGAGAAAATATTAAAGGGTCAAGAACAAAGCCCAGATGTACTATAGTATTTGCTCTTTACGCAGATGGCAGTTTTCAACCCCACACTGTTGCTTCTACAATATAGATCTAACACAAGAAGCTCTGAACATTTTATTGGTGTAGTAGAATGACCCCAAGATCCATTCCGGCAGGCTTTTGCTTCCTTCTTGGTACAAGTTCTTGTCCCATCAATGAAACGTCTTGAACCTCTTCTACTATGCTTTTCTCTCAACACTAGAACCCCACAATTTGCTGTTACTGTGTCATTCCTGGGAAACCAAACATTTCCCAGAGGATAGCTAGGGAGCATGTTCAAAAGCAGAAAACAATATATCTACCTTTTGATTCGTAGGGATCCCAATCCAGGTCTGATTCTGAAAAAGAAGAGAGATGTCCATGGGAAGTGGGCTCTATAGGAGAGAACTAAAACTAACAGATTCCCTACCATACTTCTTTCATGTCAGGGCATTGCTATGCTGCTTTAAACTGCAAATGGAGAGAGAGTCTAAAATGATTGGGGTGGTTTTTGGATCTAAATTACTGTTTTCTCAACTTTTCACATGTGTGGACTTCAACTCCCAGAATTCCCCAGCTGCTGTGCTGGCTGGGGAATTCTGGGAATTGAAACACCGATCTAAATTAATACGATGCATCTGGAAAAAAGTCCATACCTGGAAGTTTACCGTGGATTTGCTGGAACATGCTGCGATACCAGTCCTTAGGGCTGTCTACACTCTGCAATACAAAACAAACGTGTAAAGTCAGCAACAGAAAAGGGAAGACGGATACACATACCATGAAGGACTAGGCAACATCTTTGCATGGAATTAGACAATTCTGTAACACAAAAGGAAAGTAAGATTCTCACAGCAGCGCAAGAAGATGTTGTATTCAGTAATACACAACGCACAGACTACTAGGAATCCTACTTTCTTGTCTCTCTGCACAGAGCAAACAGGCAAGTAAATGATGAACTCTGAGGATGTGTAGAGGGAAGTAAATGTTCTATAAATGTAAGGTACCTTGCAAGTGGGAGACCAGCCCTCTTTTAGCTCCCTGCTTTGCTACAGTTAAAGTTAAATAAGAGAACGCAAGAGAATAAGAGCTTTGATGCAAATACAAAACCTATTATCAAGGCTAAGAGACGTAGAAAGAGATCCTCTCCCCTGGGGAGTAATGGGTAACGAGCAAAAGAGCCCTTATTCCTAAGATTGGCTTTCAATTTGTAAACCTCAGTTTATATTAACCGAGCATTAGATTTTCACTCTCTTATATTAACCCAGCATTAGACTTGTATGCCAACTCTTGGAAGGAAAGTATTTTCCTGTCGGTGACACCACAGAAACCACTCAATGTCAGATCAACATTTGGATAATTTTAAATCCTGGGTGTTCAAACCTATAGCTTTCCAGACATCGTTGAACTACAATTCTGAGCAGCTTCAGCCATGGGCCAATGGTAAAAGATGCTTAGAATGGTAATTCATAAACATCTGGAAAGCCACATATTTTTTTTTAATTTCTGCACAGATGGCTCTCGTTTATCTGCCAAATCAGCCCCAGGTTTTCATGGCTTGGGAATTAATCCAAGAGGTCCCCAGTCTGTGACAGCTTGGCAGTGGATTGTATTTTTAAAAAGAAGAAGGATGGAATTCCGTGCCTGCTTGATTATTTAGAAAGGAAATAAAAAGACCAGAACTCATCCTTTCCAGTAGCCAACACCTAGATAAGCAGGGATTAACACCAGACAAACCATCAAGCAGAAACAGTAGTTTAGTTTG